GGGCTCGTAATGTATTTGAGCCTCCCCCCCCAGCTGGAGGAATCGAAATCGGAAATCTACCAACATACCTAATTTCATAGATTCATACATAGGCGCGGGAACCGGGGGAGGGGGGCAATGGGGGAAGCTTGCCCCCACAATTCTGCGGCCGTGGGGGCGGTCCACACAACTTTTCATGAGGCCAGGAACCGTTGGGCAGCTTGTCCTTCCCAAATTAGGGGTTGTGGGTCACATAGGAAGAAAGCATGTAAGTGAAAAATCCACCTCTTTCACTGGCTCGGCAACTCATTTGACAGATTAAAACCTTTATTCCAGGTTGCCAGAACGGTAGTTTCTTCACTCAGCTGAGACGGAAAGACTCACTTTTTGCATTTTTTCGTTTTTTTTTTTTTTTTTGTTGTTGTTGTTGAAAAGACCAAAGTCTGAAAAATAAGTGGCCTAAAACCGGTGAGAAAACTAGATTTGGGGGTACCCTAGGTTGATCTCTATTATGGTTCAGCCCCCCCAGTCTTGAAGAAGTTCTCGCGCCGCTGACTAAAACGACTCTGATCACAAAAGTAGTTACTAGGAAGGCTTTCTAAACCATTTTTATTTAGTTCCTCGTTATAGGCGTAAGAAGTGTAAGTCTGAACGGGGGGGGGCATACTTGTACTGAATGCCCTCCCCAGGCTCCTGTCGGGGGGGGGGCATATGCCCCTAATGCCCCCCCCCTGGATCCGCCAGTGACCACCGGCAGGAAACCTCGGGCGTTGGCACTCAGTTTGTGAAAATCCGGCCGGAGGCTGTTCCCTTTGTGACGTCATAACTCCGTGACCTGACATGACCCGGTCAAATTTTTTTTATCAAAAGATGCGCAAGGTTTGCCCCATAAGGTACCCAAAATTTGGCGGCGCTGCGCGCCGCCGTTTTTGCACTATTTCCGAAAAACCTCAGGGGGGGGGTTGCACCAACCCCCCCCCCTACATGGGCGAGGGTTAAGAGCTTGAGGACGCTTAGTGCACACTGGAAGTTATAATTGTGTGATAAATATAATAAGAAAAGGCCAGGTAAATCATTCCTTATGGGAACAGGCCGTTGTGTCGGTTAAAAGTGTAATTTGTGTGACTAAAAATACGCGTTGCTATTCTACAGCGGTAAAGTTCACGTAGCGTGCTTTAAAGGTAGTGTGCCACCTTTGAAAGATTTCCCATTTTATTTTTCCTAGGATAAGAAGCTTCTGTTTTTACCTAATATCGCAAAAAAAAATCAAAAATGGGCCTGGAATAGTGCCTTTTTCGCCTAAAAGTTTGTCGGTTTTTAGATATGTATAACAACTGTAGTGGGCTCACCTGCAAACAGGCGTCGGGCAACAATCGCGAATGCGGCGCACTTGTGACAATAAGCAAAGGTCATTATAGTGTTACGACCATACGACGTAGGGGAATGAGTTATCAGCTGTCTAATCGTAGACAACACAATGTCGAGCCTTAAACTGTAAGCCCGTATTGGTATTGTTTCTTTTATTTGGCTGTCGAACATTATTTATGGTTTGAAATATGATTTTATGTAAAATAATTGATATGAAAAAGCCGTCTTATAAGTTATGACCCCATTTCACCACACGCAAGTGGCAGAAATGACAATGATCAGCTGACGCATTTTTCTTGGCCGAAGTCAGAGCGCGCGGCCCGACGCACCACGCGTATTTGGAAATTCCGACCTCGACGAGCATCAGAAGCCACCTAACAGGCGTGTTCGAAACCGCAGGAGATGATGATGAACGGGTTTATCGAAACTTGATTGGATGAGCATATCGGTAATAGCGATTTCAGTGTGTGCATTTATTGTTCATAGTGGTGTGAAATGTGGTTGGGGTACGACCGACAACCCGTCGGGGCGAATTTCGCACTGGGGTACTCAAAATTTGAAGAATTTAAGACGTTTCCATGAGTTTTGAAGGTATGGATAAGTTCTAAAAATCCGGTTCTCCTTATCTGGGCCATTAACTCCATACGGTCCAAGAAAGCTGGCACACTACCTTTAACGCGCGTAATTGCACGTTTTCGGCATTACCCCAGCCAGCCATACTTTCATTTGCAGGCCCATAACTTTTCAACGTGCCGTATAAATTTCAAATAGGCAGCACACTTATGCAAAGACGTGCTGAAGATTACTTGACCGAATTGGCCAGACAAACGGTAGCATAATGAGTAGGAAATGCAGCTTCGAAGACGCATGTAGTACAAAGGAAACGTACCTTGAAAACGCTCTTGGCGCCCTCACAGCCGAAGTATTCCGAATGACGACTGGTAACAAACATGCGATAATTGGTAGTCACGCTTCAGAGCATCACTGACAGGTGGCATCCATGTCGTACGGTTTTCGAAATATCTCGAATTTCGGCTTTGCCCCAACTCCGGCATTGCCCCAACTTCCCCTATTAACCCTCGCCGGACCTATTGGTTTTCTACATACGCGCCGGCCGAGGGGGGGGGGCGGGTACGACCCCCCCTCGCCGTTTCGCCCCTGGTGGAGCTAGCGCGTCGCGGAAAAAACGAGCGTGTGCGCCGTTACGAGACGCAGAGATTGGTACCCGATTTTAAGGTCCTAGGTCAACCGGTGACCTCTGAGGTCAGGTCAAGTGCCCCAAGGTACGGTTCAGTTTTTGGTGAATAACTTCGCAAAAAACGGCCGCAGAGCGCCGATTTTGGCAGCATCGTGTTTGTCTCGCTCAGGCGCGTCGAATGATATACTTTTTGTCCGGGTCAGGTCAACTTGGGGTGTTGACCTCAGGTCAAGGTCAGGTCAGCACCCCCAGGTCACGAAGTTGGTCGAAAGAGGTCATGTCGCATATCATTCGATTCGGCAGGTCTTCCTGAGTCCATTGGTGGCTTTCCCGACTCGCTAGCTTAATTTGATCAAGAGTTATTGACGAAAAACTAATGTGACCTTGATGACGTCATAAATGACGTCACGCAAGGTCAACATTGCAAAAGTGACGCATCTAACCTTGCAAGGAGTGCATCAAATCACGATTCTGTGTGCTTGAGATAGTTGGAGATCGTTCCCGGCGCCAGAATAGCAGTTTTCATTTTTCCCCATTGACTTATAATGGTGAGGTCACGAAAATGACCTGACCTCATATGACCTTTAGGAAAAATCCGAGATAAACAAAATGTGGGACTCATAATGGATACTAGATCCTGCAAGTTTCATTTCCCTGTGACATCTCCTCTGGCAGTGAGGGCGTTGCGAAGTTGCGACATCTGAAGACCGTGCAGAGGTTCACTTATGACGTCATAGGTCAGTGACCTGACCTGACCCAAAAATGCGGTTGGTGTCAAAAGATGCGGCTTGGATCAAAGGTCAGGTATGCCAAGTTTCAGCTCTCTATCGCCAGCGTGTTCGGAGCTATCGCGAAAAAACCCTATGGGGGGGGCGGCACCCGCCCCCCCTCGGCCGGCGAGGGTTAAGACATGACTCTTCAGTCTCACTTAACGGAAATTTCTGAGTATGAGCGGCCGGCCGGCCGTGGTCACGATTCTGCGAGTGCGACGCTTATATCTCAGCAACCACTTGACCGATTTACACGCGATAATTTTTGTAGGGTAGCTTCATTCCTTCTACCAAGTATTGGACTATTCCCGATGCATTGGGTGACCCCTTATGCACGTGTCACGTGCAAAACGAAGAGGTGTCACTTTTGTAATTGTTGCAATATCTCGGTAACTACTTGGCCGATTGCGCTGAAAGTTGGCATGTAGGTAGGCACCTACTAGGCAATGCATATCCATGTGCCAGAATTGGGGTGCTGCTGCACGTGCGCACGTGCAGGGGTCGATTCCAGATCTCGAGAACGGCTGGACCAATGGCGCTCAAATTTGGCACATGGTTAGGGACCGGTTAGTAGGGTGCCGTGCAAAAGTCAGTTGGGACCCATTTTGCACGTGCGCACGTGCAGGGTGCCGGCAGTCAACCTCCAAAATGCTTCAAATGCGTCGTAGGCCACGCGTCATTGCTGAATGTGAAGCTGACTCGCCTATAACAAAACACAGGGGCTCAAACTAACACCGGCCAAATTGCCCCACACCCCCGGCCAAATAACCCTGCTAGTGGGGCAATTTGGCCGCTTTGCAGACCTTTGTAATACGCCACAATTTCAATATAAGTAGTTACTCTATCATTTCAAGTTTACCTACTGTCCAAGAAAGTAAACTGTATGCCACACCTGTCAGCGTTGAGAAAATGCAGAAATGTGCTGTCGATTTTTAGTTACATCGTTTTGTAAAAAAAGCGGCCAAATTACCCCAATCTCCCCTACGTCCCGGGTTTTCCCTATGCTATGCCGTGGTATACTTTTTAGGAAAAGTCTTAAAACTGCATGCGCTTAGCTAATTTTTTCTTTTAGATATTCATCCAAAGATGACGGAAGGCATAATCCATCCGCTCCTACCCTGCCACTTGCAGGGTTAAGTCCTTGGTGGTTCTGGTGATATCATTTGCAAGCAGTATTTGATAAGCATTGCATTGATAAGCCGGTCCCGTAGCTCAGTTGGTTAGAGCGTTGGACTCCGCGTGGTGAGAGCACGCGTTCCCGGTTATGACAGTCCGGGTTTGTAGCGCGACGGGCGCTCGATATTCATGGGCCTCCTGACAGGTATGGTTGCGGTTGGTGGCAGGCCGTAGCCAGGCGAAGTCAGCGAGGGGACCGGCCGTGCGCGGCTTTGTGCGCACGTTAAACTTTGGACTCTAAATTCTGCCATAGAATCGGAATTGCGCGATCGGAGGGTAGAGGGCAGGGTCATCGCAACAAGCTTCGCTTAGCGGTGGCTCTCTCTGTCCTTGTGAATCCTTCCCATCAAAAGGTTCGGACTAAATTTATATAAAAAAGCACATTTGATACATTTGGCACATTTGGCGGCACCCATTGATAGGGTGCCGCCAGGGGATACATATATTTATACAGCGGTACGGCTTGGTTTTAAATCACGTTTGTACCTTCCTTTATCGAATGAAAAGTTGTTGTCACAGGAGCACAGGTGCTACCGGACAATAAAATGGCCTTGAGTAAAAATAAAATAAACGTAAGTAATGTTTTAGAACGACCGTTGGCAGTTTGCGTAACGTTAACTCCTTGAATAGATGTCTCCCTCGAAATGGAAAGCCGCAGTCCGACTTAGCGTTACTATATAAATCAAAGCTTAGAAGATAAGTTTGGTACGTATCCACTTCATAAACTTCGATGATTTAGGAGCAATGATTCATGCTGGCGTTTGCAGTCATATCAGACGATTTCGGTTTCGGAAACATTCGTTTTTAGTTGTTTGTGCGCTGGGGACTGCATATCTTGCTTTGAACCTGATACATGACAGCTTACCAAGACGGCCAGCTATCAATTCGTGAGTACCAATCGTACCTTCCTAATTCCTATGCAATTACGCTCCTAGAGCTTATCTAGTCTCTCTCTCTCTCTCTCTCTCTCTCTCTCTCTCTCTCTCTCTCTCTCTCTCTCTCTCTCTCTCTCTCTCTCTCTCTCTCTCTCTCTCTCTCTCTCTCTCTCTCTCTCTCTCTTTTTCTCTCTATCGTCATACGTGATAGCGTCATGACTGTAGTTCGTTTTCTTTTGTTTGATCCTCACCATAAACTCGTTTTGAACACAGCAGATATTGCTAGCTGAATTCCTGAGAAAACTGGTTAACGCACATTGTGTTGGGGATATTCAAAATATACCTATTTCAAAATAATACTTGAACACCGATGATGTATTCCTATCACATAGATTGGACATGTGGATAGGTAGTCATCTGAATGGATGATGACATGTGACGTCAAAAGAGAGGTCAGTCTCAATCAGAAGACACTTGCGTGAATCGTAGGGAACGGCATGCTAAATTGTGAATATTCGAGTCTTTATGAAGGCATGTCATGTAGGAATAGGCGGCGGAACGGGGAGGGCACCGGGGCACCGTGCCCCCCTTTGATTTTGGCATTTTGACATTAGCCCTATGGGCGTTGCATGGAAAGAATGGGACCAAAAGTCGGCAGTGCCCACTGCCCCCCCCCCCCTTAACCCTATTCCTGGCGGGCCCCGCCGGGACAAAAAAAAGGCGGGGGGGGGCGATTCGGCCCCCTTCAGATCTCAAAAACTACACATCGCAGCGACAAACGGCGAACGGCGTTTGATAGGTCGTTTAAAGATCTACAACTTTTACAAAAAAAAAACATTTTCAGGTCAGGTCAATATTGAGGTCACCAGAGGTTATCAGCGATAAAATGTTTTGGAATTAAGTACCTATATAACCTTTAAACTAAGAAACATAGAGACATAAAACCATACATTTTTTGTTGCTCTCGCCGAGGCGATGCGAAATAAGTATGTGATGACCTTCACAGGTCAATTTGAAATTTGACCGTCAAGGTCAGGTCATTCATCAATGAGGTTGTGGGGTATGGTCATGCTGCATACCAAACGACGCGCCTTGACCAGGCGAGCAGTTTGGTACCACTTACAAGTCTTTAGCACCATTATGTCGTGATTTATTGACAGAAAAACGATTTATGACGTCACATGACCTCAGATGACCTTTGCCGGTGCCCCTGTCAATTAGCGGCACCAGGATCATCACCGATGAGATAATCTTCCATAATACTGAAAGAATTGGGTGGTTTTGACTCGTTTACACGAGGCAGGAGGCGTTTCAATATTTTCCCATAGGCTTGCAATGTAAAGGTCACGAGTCTGGCCTGACCTCAGGTCACAGATATGAAAATTCTGAGATATACAAATTGCACATACTGGTATCCTAACTAAAGCCTGAAGATAAGAAATTGATCGGTCAAAAACTCTAGCTCTGGCGTGATTGCAAACTTTTCTGAGGTAGGGTCAACAAACCGCCTCTGGTGACCTGACCTGAGGTCAGATCAACTCAAAATTTTCAGAAATGTTGCGTAAAAGCCTTTAGGGAAAAGTCAGAAAATTTGAGCTTCCTAGCTCAAAGCGTTTGGGAGAAATAACCAAAAACCTCAGGGGGGACTCCTGAGGCCCCCCCCCCCCCCCCGCTAGGAATAGGGTTAAAGGTAGTGTGCCACCTTTGAAAGATTTCCCATTTTATTTTTCCTAGGATAAGAAGCTTCTGTTTTTACCTAATATCGCAAAAAAATCAAAAATGGGCCTGGAATAGTGCCTTTTTCGCCTAAAAGTTTTTCGGTTTTTAGATATGTATAACAACTGTAGTGGGCTCACCTGCAAACAGGCGTCGGGCAACAATCGCGAATGCGGCGCACTTGTGACAATAAGCAAAGGTCATTATAGTGTTACGACCATACGACGTACGGGAATGAGTTATCAGCTGTCTAATCGTAGACAACACAATGTCGAGCCTTAAACTGTAAGCCCGTATTGGTATTGTTTCTTTTATTTGGCTGTCGAACATTATTTATGGTTTGAAATATGATTTTATGTAAAATAATTGATATGAAAAAGCCGTCTTATAAGTTATGACCCCATTTCACCACACGCAAGTGGCAGAAATGACAATGATCAGCTGACGCATTTTTCTTGGCCGAAGTCAGAGCGCGCGGCCCGACGCACCACGCGTATTTGGAAATTCCGACCTCGACGAGCATCAGAAGCCACCTAACAGGCGTGTTCGAAACCGCAGGAGATGATGATGAACGGGTTTATCGAAACTTGATTGGATGAGCATATCGGTAATAGCGATTTCAGTGTGTGCATTTATTGTTCATAGTGGTGTGAAATGTGGTTGGGGTACGACCGACAACCCGTCGGGGCGAATTTCGCACTGGGGTACTCAAAATTTGAAGAATTTAAGACGTTTCCATGAGTTTTGAAGGTATGGATAAGTTCTAAAAATCCGGTTCTCCTTATCTGGGCCATTAACTCCATACGGTCCAAGAAAGCTGGCACACTACCTTTAATTGAAGGTGTTCCGCCGCTACTGCATGTAAGTAGGTATATGCGGCCACGGAAACCTCCTTGGCCATTTTTCGTGGACATATGACGTTACAGGGAGGTCAAAAAGGTCAAATTGTACCTGTTTACAATAACAACATTTTTTTACTAAAAGAGACTTTTATTACATGAAAGATCACATTTTAGTCAGGAAGAGTTGGAGAAGTATCATACGTACCAGTAAAACGCCATTTGAGGTGACAAACGAGCGAGCGAGAGGGTGAACCGTTTTGGATTGACAAAACATTTGCGGTTCATCTTACGATACGACGCTGCTCCAAGGTCAAGGTCCCTCCCCAGCCTCCCTCAGGTGTGAGTGGTCTCACCAACCCCATCCCTCTGCCGCACGCTCCACGCGGGATATGCGCTGTCCGTGTCTGACTGGAGGTCGATTCCAGGACCGCGGCGGCGCCGGCGACGCGGGCGCGGCCGGCGTGCCCGCCGCCGCCGCCGCCGCTGCGGCCGGCCAAGCTGCCGCACCGGTTCCCTGGCCTGACGTGCGCGCCGCGGCACCGGGTGGGCTTCCTGAAGACGCACCGGAGCGGCTCGTCGGCCGTGCAGAACGTGCTGTTCCGGCTGGCGGCGCACCACCAGCTGGTGCCGCTGCTGCCGGCGGCCGGCTCCCAGCTGCTGGGCCGGCGGCCGTTCCGCGCCTCCGACCGGTGCGCCGCCGCCGGCCACCAGTTCGGCTGTCACATCATCAACGTGGCGCTCCGCTGGGACCACGACCAGGTGCAGCAGGTGATGCCCAACGACACCGTGTACATCTCGATCGTGCGCGAGCCGCTGCGCCAGTTTCTCTCCATGTTCCGGCACCTGGAGCTGGACCGGTTCGTATCGCTGGAGGAGTTCGCCGCTCAGAGGCCCATCCCCAGCACGCGCTTTGGCGGCATGTACGGCCGCAACCAGCAGCTCTGGGACTTTGGCCTGCCCGAGGAGCACCACGACGACGACAACAAGGTTCGCGAAAAGGTGAGACTCACTGCCGGGACGTTAAAATTGCATGCAAGGGCATCGTGCATCGCGTATGTACTTGGGTAGAAAGTAGTGGTAAAACGGCGAGGCGAGGTGTAACAAAAGGTGGTTGGTTTGATAGGTCTATGGCATGTATGTCAGTGGGTGACCTTTTTATTGCTGCTTTCCCTGAACCTTTGTAATGCTGCCAAATGAAAAATATTGTCCAGGTTCTCAACTTCGTGAACCCTAACTTTGTGATGAAAAAAGTAAGGACATCATTTCCTGAAAAGCCACCCAAGTTCATATAATACTCTTTCCTAAAAGATGTAGGGGAAGACGGGGGAACACCGCCCTTTTGGGACCACCGCCCACCCCGATATCAGAAATATGAAAAGGTTTAGGGCGACAGCTGGCTGTCTTTTGGCAGCGTGACGTCTACAGAAGTGCACTGTGCAGGTGTGGGCAGTGCACCGCATTGTTTTAGGTGATTTGCGATAAATTCTGAGTTTTACGTTTCGTGAATGCGTTTTATACTTTTTCTAGAATAATAAGCAGAAGAAAACTTATCTTATTTGACAGCAAATAACCCTGAAGAAGTTTTTTTCCATAATTGGGACTCATCCAAACATTTCGTGCTTCTGCTCGAGCGTCATTTTTGTCGTGCTGCCATAGTGAAGGATTTTTTAGAAAAATGCAGACCCTTGGGTCTACACTTCTCAAGGGTAACACCGCCCATTTGGGAAATTTTTAACCTGCGACCCATAGGGGGAGGGGGGGGGGCGAAACGACCCCCTGTCCTTTTCCGTAGATATCTCCCAAACGGCTGCAGATATCGTCACCAAACTTTCAGAAACCCTCCGGGCATCAATTTTACACATTGTGACCAACTTTTTCTATAGAGGCTATGATAGGTTTGCCGCAAATGACGTCAGAATGACGTCATGTTCTGCCATTTTCGACCAAAAAAAAAAAAACTTTCGCGGGAAGAGCTGTCAATCCTACAGCTTTGAAGATACAGACAAATGTTTAGACATAGGTAAGTACAAGGTGTAGAATGAACTGGGCTACAAAACTTCTTTCTCAGATTTTTTGAAATTTTGGGATTTTGACCCCCTAAAATAAAAAGTAACTTTTTTGATAGATTAGCCAAAAAATTCAAAAAGTTTTCGAATTTCCAAAAAAAAAAATGGAATACATGTGATAGCTCATGCCATATTCTATTTAGGTACATACCAAATTTGAGCTCGATCTCTCTTTTTTGCCAAGTTGTAGCGAAAAAACTGTGGAAAATTGATGACGTCAAATTTTTAAACTCAATTTTTAGTAATTCTAGACAACGTAGCGCAAAACAAGGACCACCATTAGACTCCCCGTGACGAGCTGCATCGAATCGATACCCATTCTATGCAAAAATACCAAGTTAAAAATTTGACCCTTTTTTGACCTGACCTTGACCTGACCTTAACCAAAATATAGCCTAAACTGGCCCTAAAGGCTGCCTGACCCACATAAACGCATTTGTCATAAAAATGGACTATAAAACATGTATCACACTACACTTTCGTATTGTGACCCTCAGTGACCTGCCCTCTGTGACCTGACCTGACCTATTAGTGACCTCAAATAGCAGGATAGGTATGTGTTTGACGGACCAGCTATTACTAAGATAGTTAAACGAGTTGTTCAGCGACAGCTTTCACATTATCTCGAACAAAACTATATTTTATCTGACTCACAACATGGCTATAGAAAACTTCATTCAACGGAGACGGCTCTACATGTCATGACTGATACGGCTCTTCGGCGAAGACTTCGCGCGATGGACAATGGTGAAATCTCAATTATGGTGACACTTGATCTATCCAAATGCTTTGATGTTGTACCTCACTAAATTATTAGAAAAACTGTGCGCATACGGAGCAGACAGCGAGTGGTTCTGTAGCTACCTCCGTGGTCACACGCAACGAGTGCGATTGGGCGGAGCTGCGACTCACCACGCTACGCCCAGTGTGACTGGCGCCCCCACGGCCGGCGCCCTGCGCCGTGTCAGCTGGCTACCGCAGAACCAGGCTTGTCTGACACGCAGAAAATCACCTCGGATATTTTTCAGGGGGGAGCTTTATCATGTATTTTGTATGCTTTGTATTCCAATGACTTAATCACACATAGGTGACGATGTGACAACCGTTTGCTACATTGATGACAAGTGGTACTTACAATGTCCGTGAAGTTAGCGTCAGCAACAGCAACGAATACAGCGTCGGATTCAGAATCGCTTCAAAAACCATCAGGTCAATTGGGGGACGGGTACCAAGAATATGACCTTTATTTGGCCCTATCTCTTACCCCTTACCCCTTAATCAGCCCTTAAAGGAAGGGGCGTGTCAAAGGTGCGGCGGTGCCTCAAGAGTTCGTCTGGTCTCTGACCCGATGAATCGATTGCGCCCCCTATTTTGGCGATCAGACGAACCCTTGAGGCACTCTTGACGCGCCCCTTCCTTTAAGGGCCGATTAACTCATTAACGACGATAATTCCGTGGGCAAATTTCGGCAGTTTTTCTTGATGCCCTGTGCTTCTACATGCACTAGAAATGCACATACGGTGTATTGAAAAATAGAAATATTTTTAACATATATTTCTGGACTGGCAACTATAGTTGCCACTCGGCGTTGGCGTAGTCAAAAATGGGGAATATTTGTTTCTGGTCCCTAAAAAGCTGTTTCTGGCACCTAATTGCTGATCAGCCCCAAAATGCTTATTCGACCCTAATATCTGAATCTGGCACCTAATTGCTTCCACACAGCCTAAAGTTGCCAGATCGTCTAGTTGAACTCCGTATTTGCTGTTTGCTGATTCAGCACCAAAACCAAAACATCCAGCACCTATTTTATTCCACGTTTGCCTACCTAATTCGCGTAATCTTCCTGATTTATGTATCCTAACAACATGAACGTTGCATTCGGTGATGTCAAGTGCCATTTTCGCCAGTGGAGATAACGATTAATGCCATTTCTAGCCAAAATAGAATCACTAGCCAGCTATGGTGCAGCATAGCAAGACGCTCCTATACCAGCCCGCTATGTAGAGACTAGAGATTATTGCACCCTCAGCCATTTTAACGTGAAAAGTTTGGATCCGTCACTTCCAGCCAGGCTCTCAGGTCATAAACTGGAGTAAAGCAAAATGTCAACTCTGAACAGACATGCCACGCAACCGGCCCTCTTTTCAATATTATTAGCTTTCTGCAATCATCGTCTGACTCCATCTCGATCAAACGCAGCATCCGGTTTCTACAGGGGCGTTTGACTGACCGGCGACACAATAACCAAAAACAAAATCAAAGCTTCATGCACACATATGACATAAGTAAGAAACGGATGAAAAAGGCACAACCACGGCACAACTCTGCGCGGCAAACAACGGACAATGTCCCACGCAAGATCCCGCGTTTCTTCAGCGGCCTTGAACGGAATGAAAACATTACATTTCTTTTTTGGAGCTATTTGATGACGTCAAAAAATACAATACCCGTTTTAATGGTCAAAATCGAGACAATTACTCACAAAAATGTTTCCCTTTAAGCATTACAAATAAATACTTTTAAATATTTAAATGACATTGTTTTTTTTCAAACAAATCAATATTATTTGCTTACTTAAACGTCATATACAATGCTGAGATCACTACGGGGCTGTCTTAGAGTGTAGCTGCACTGGCAACCTTTAGGCTAGACTCCAGGGGTCATTATACCAGAACAACATGATTTTACCAGCCAGTAGTTCATTTTTCTACTAGATTGGTGCTACGCTCAGCATTTAGGTGCCAGATTCAGAAAAAAGAGTAAGGCGTAGGGTAAGGTGCCTAATTAGCGACCCTTTCCGATTTGCGACCTACCTCCCTACAGAAAGACTGGCGGGAGAAAACGGGGTAAAAACATCGTCAAAAGGTGAGCCATACTTAAGTTATCAAATTAAATTACTTTACGGTTGTCGATGTTTTTGGTGGGACGTTTCAGGTGAGTTTAAATAAAAATGACGAGTTTCTTATCCAAAACGTGTGTGTTTGGGCCCTCTCTGATGAAAAGCGATGCACATTAGAATGATGCACCTTTTTTATTCTGAATCGACATTCCTTTTTCAATTGATTGCCGTTTTCCCATAGTGAATCGCTTAACTGTGTACAGCATGGCGGTTAAAAATGTGTCGCAACTCATATTTCCTATTTGCGCCTGACATGGTCGCAAATAGCTCAACAAGGGAAAGAAAGGGGAAAAGAGAGAAATGAAAATGTGGTGTTGCTGAAGCTTGCAATGTGTGGCAGGGGATGTCAAATGTCGTCACCGACTGCAGGGGTGCCGAATTCAGCGCGGACCTCGAATATCATACAAGATAGCCCGCAAAATTTGGGTTTTCGCCTTCTTTTCGCCTTCGGTGCATCACGTGATCAGTTTTTACTTACGTAAATGTGTTGGATAAACGTTCCTGTTGGAGTGATTGAGTGTTTTGCGTATAGGTTACCTTATTGAGATCATAATTTCATCTTTTCAGGCGTCCTATTTTTTGCCATTTTTAATATGGGGAAACCCATAGACTTATTAGCGACCCTCCCCGGTCGCTAATCGGGAAGAGTTCCCTATTAGCGTTTTTTGCAATGGTTTGCCAAAATGCTCACTACAAATAAGTTAGTGAATATTGGGGCAGAAAATGACTATATTTTAATAGAAAAATGGACGACTTCTCCGAAAATCAAGCCAGTAATACAGTGGCACCCACAGAGCGTGAGCAATGACGGTTCAAATTAAGGGGGTCGCTAATTAGGCACCTTACCCTACCGTTGAATAGGTGCCAGAAACAGCTAATTAAGGTCATTTTCCATGATTGGTGCTGGTATCCACCAAATAGGTGCTGAGGACCAATTTTGGGGCGAGTCAGCTTTTAGGTGCCAGAAATAGCTTTTCTGGGACGCAATTAAATGGCGTCCGTCAAAAATTGCCGCTATCGTAACTTTTCATTAAACAAATACTAATCGCCGGGATGCATTGAATCTATTTATGTCCCAACTTATCCCCCACGAGCCTTAATCCAATTTCCAAACAGAAAAAGTGGTTACGCCACTTCAATATAAATTTTTAATAAGATAATTACGTCTAAGTAGTGGAATCTACACTATGCCCTATGGTATAAGCCTGTAGCCTGTGCCCAAAGCAGCTGCAGTCCTTGGTATCCAGGAAACACAGTTCATTTATCCATCAATAAGTGTTTTTCTGTACCAAAGCAGATGCTCTTTACCAGTCCTTTTTAACCATTTATCTTGACATGCATAAATAAAATCTGCTCGAAAACAATTCAACAAAGAATGCATATTATCTCATACGTAGTTCTCACCAGATTTCTATTTACTCGTACATGGTTGATGGCAGGTATACCGTCCTATCACAAAACTTTCTACCGGGTATGATACATTTGTAAAAACTCGGGGTACAAAGCAACTCGATTATTCATGCCTATTTGCGAGCACGCTGATTACAGGCCTACCGGAGCCATGGAATTGTATAGTATATTTCTGATTCCCGCATACGTACGTACTTCTGCTGTCCTTACCTAACCAGTAAATCCGTTCGCCTTCGAATGTTTTTTAGACTGTTCGGACGAGAGTCTGGACAAATTGGATCCCTTTCGTGATCACGACTCGAGCACACACTGGCGGTTGTACTTCAGAATAAGAAGGGGGATATGTTGATTGACGAGTAAAAGTGGTGTAAGTACAAGGCGACCACCACTACTTGCACTTGAACACATTCCACGTGTCATAAAAATATAGTTCAATTTCATCTAGTTTAGGACAACTGAGCAGGCCCACATATTTTCTACCACCTGAATCCCCATTTCCTCGTTTCCAGCTGGCAGTGCCAGGAATCAGCACTGCCCCAAGTCAGGCGATGTCTCGCCTTTGGTTCACAATTTTCATTCAGTCCCATGAGACAACATCAGCTACGTGATCGTAACCTAAAGTTTCGTGTGCTGTTATCCTCGCACGAAACCCAAAGCACAAAGCCGCCTCCACCGTCTCATTCAGCTGAATCACCAGCATCTGCTGTGAAAGTTCAGATAGCAAGCAGCTTCATCGGAATCAATTCGGTATCACGACTGTGTCAAGGTCATAATCGGCGTCAATGGGAGCTCAGCGGAGGAGGTGGGGGAGCTTTCGTTTATGGGTCCCTGTTTGTAAACGTCATACAGCGTCTTTACGATGCTAAAAACTTAATTTGTTGATGCAAATAGGCTTAATACCTACGTGCCCCTCCAAATTGAAACACGAGCTGGTCACACGATTTAGCATCATGGCACGGTGCCTGCAGATGAGCATGCCTGAGTTTGGTTATGCATACTGCAAGTGGCGCGACTAACGAACGCTAGGAAAAACCAGCAAATCATAGTCTTCGACATAGAAAGCGAGAGCGACTCTGGTTTATCCAGAAAGGTGATAGGTGATATCACACGCAGCAGGGTTTGAAAATTCTCGTACCTAAACTTCTCGGATTTCGGTTTGTTATAAATGCATTACTGTGCAATCGTAGGCAATCTTTATCGTATAAATGCCGTTTTAGTTCTCTTTCTTTACAAAGAAAACGAAACAAAATCGGGCAAGTCGGACTCTGTGAGCTATGAATGTCCGTAATGTTTCCTGCATCCGCCAGTGGAGGAACAGGGAAAGAGAGCGAGAGAGAGAGAGAGAGAGAGAGAGAGAGAGAGAGAGAGAGAGAGAGAGAGAGAGAGAGGGAGAGAGGAAAGAGAAAGCGAGATTGCATCCCATTCCACAAAAATATCTTCAGTAGATGATAAACATAAACAGATTTAACAATGTCGAGAATAGACCAAGAAAACAATGGATGGGGGTAGGGTTCACTATGGTAATGTATAGACATGCATGTATTTTTTAATTAATTTCTGCCTTAATTGTTAATTTATTTGCAAAAGTCCATGTAACTATGTCCCAAGGTATACACGGGGACAGTCTGGTTGAATAACATATGTTTCGTTACAGTATATCCGTAAATACAACTATTTAACTATGAACCGCTCATATTTTTGACTACGCCAACGCCGAGTGGCAACTATAGTTGCCAAGTACAAATCTAGTACAAATAACTACAAATGAGTAGAGTGCTTTCAAGTTTTGAGACACTGGTAGCCTGCCTACATCCTTTCTGGATCAAAATAAGCCGAAAATGCTCGGAAATACCGGACACTCTGGAAAAACAGCGTCGTATTCTTCGGGACCGTCAAGCCAATATGGCGGCCGTCTCTGCAACGTCTGACTATTTCTTGATTTGTGAAGCATGTTGCGCACAGGACGTGACTAAAACCGTCTGATCATGATGAGAAGGGACTATGCTGATTAGGCATCCCACAAATGCTGTTCTGACGTCATTAACTTGCCTTCAGCAGTAGGTTTTTGTAGATGGCAACTATAGTTGCCACTCGGCGTTAATGAGTTAAGGGGTAAGGGGTAGGGGTAAGCCAAGGCTGCGGCTAGATATTGACCCGAGGAATCGATTGCGACCCTTATTTTGGCGATCAGACGAACCCTTGGGGCATTTGGTTCTTTGCATGAGTTGCCCCCCTCCTAAAAAAACGCAAGTCTGGATTCGCCAATGCACGATACTGCACGGTGTCCCGTCCCGGCTGAGCTGTGCTGCACGGTATACCGTTCCGCCTAAGCTGTGCTGCACGATACTGCACGGTATACCGTCCCGGCTGAGCCGTGCTGCACGGTATACCGTCCCGGCTGAGCTGTGCTGCACGGTGTTGTTGTGCCGGCTGGGCGTTGTTGTGCTGAGCTCTGTTGTGCCGCGCCGTGTGACGCCGCTGACGGCCGCCGGTGTGCCGCCGCTCAGGTGGCCGAGATCGAGCGTCACTTCCAGCTGGTGCTGGTCGCCGAGCGGATGGACGAGTCGCTGGTGCTGCTGCGCCACCTGCTCTGCTGGCCCACCGCCTACGTCGTCTCCATGCGGCTCAACGCGCTGATGGCGCCCATCGAGCTGCCGGTGGACAGCCCGGCGCGCTCGGCGCTCCAGCGCTGGCTGCGCGCCGACCGCCTCCTCTACCGCCACTTTGCCGGCCGGCTGGAGCAGCGCGTGCGCCAGTTCGGCGAGGACAGGATGCGCCAGGAGGTGGCCGCGCTGCGCGAGGAGACACGCCGCGTGGTGGCCGAGTGTCGCATCGTGCGCTCGCCGCCTGCCGAGCTGCAAGAATGGAACCGCTGGCCCGGCCACCGGGTGTACGGCTTCAGCGCGCGCAACGGTTCGCGGCTGTGCCAGATGTACGTGGCCGCCGAGCACACGTGGGTGCAGGTGATGCGCGAGCTGGTGGAGGCGCTCAAGGCGATCCGGTGAGGCGTCCGCTGCCGCCGGTCTCACAGTCCGGCGCGGCGGTAGGTATACGGTATTTACAGAGCGCCCCGGCCCTTCACGGTTCGTGCCAGGCCAAGCTAAAAGAAAAATAAATAAGTCGTGGTGGAATTTGTGTTTTGTCGCTGGTCGTGGACTTCCTTGAGCCGTTTCTGGCGCTCCTGACTGTGACACAAACACATGGTCCGGCCCGCCTCTGAAGGCAGCGCCGAAAGGGTGTGTCGGAGTCGCCGGGCGACCGGTCGGACCGCGCCGAAGTCGCCGCCGCACAGCAGGCCGGCCGGCTGCCGCCGGGCCCACTCCGAGGCCGACCAGCTGACGGGCGATGCACCGGCACAAACTTGTGCTGAATTCGGTCCAGTCTGTCCAAATTCGATGCGACTGCTCCGTCCCAAATCATACTACCGTACTCGAGGATCGAGCGCACTTTCGCTGCTATAACCCCAGCCTGGGAATTACCACGCACCCCTGCACGAATCAGGATGCCTTTAGCTCTGTTACCCTTCTTTTCTGTTGTCACATCAAGGTGATCAGAAAAGTTTAGCTTGCTATAGTTCGTTTTATTAAAGTTTTACCCTCACTGTAAACGTGTCTTTGAACACAACACGAGAATTGCTAGCTCAATTAGCTATTGAGAAAACTGGTTGGTGGACATTTAATTTTACTGGCGATCATTTTTATCGAAAGTATTTCCTCCTGGCTCCTATTTTTCAGACTCTCAGCTCGTACATAGGGGAGAGTGGCCATATTGCGCCACGTTAAGCGAAACTGGCTTCAGCTTGGAATACAAAGACAGCACAGGTTAGTTGTTTTCACATTATATTTAGAAACCTTTTCCTACCTTTTTAGACACTAATTTATCACATACTTCAACTCATAAGTCAGACACGGTCTTTTTAGAAAGTATTGCAAAGGGCGCAATTGTCGAATTACCTTCGATAAATGCGCCTTATTTATTTTATTTAATTCAAGTGATCACCAACAGGGCGGACCCCCACTGACAGGCGAAGTCAAACTAACACTGTACATGATAAACAATGGCATACGGGCAAGCAATGCAGAGTAAACAGTAGTCAGTAGGTAAATACTACGATAAATATAGCTAAAAATATAATGCACAAAAAATATGTGAGTTATGAATCTAAAAAAACGGAGCTTGTAAAAAGGCTCTGTGACTTTAAAAAGATGATATATACTTCAAAACATGAGATTTAAAAGTCCCAGTGGCATCGGTAAAAAAATATGCCACTGGAACACTGCATAAAAACGAATTGACTAGACGTGGTACCCTGTTGAATAAACCCCGCTTCACGGTGTTGACGCGTGCACGGGGCTCATAAAATAGTTTTTGTGTGCGGGTCGACCGAGTGGGTATGTGCAGTGCAAAGCTGTTTAGTGTGTGGCAGCAGTCGTGTCTCCCATGAAACACGTTTCTGGTGAAAATCAGATCATGCTGAATTCGACGTGAAGCCAATGACTGTATCCGGAAGTGATTTAGTAAAGCACTATAATCCAGAGAAATGGAATGTCCGGAGTGCGTGTTTGATAAAAGCCATATTAGAAATTTGTGTTGCACTCGGTCGACCCGCACTGTGTGGGTGTCAGCCGCACCCGCCCATATCACACTGTCATATTCTAAAATCGAGCGTACACTGGAGAAATAAGCACACAAAAGTGCCTTGCGATGAAATTTGCTTCCCTTCTCACCTGTTTGAAAAATTTTCTCTTAATTTCTATAATTTCCAAACTCAACTTTTAGCTGTTTTAGACCACACAGCAAAAAAAAAAAAAGAAGACCGCCATTGGATTCCCCGTGATGAGCTGCGTCGAATAGCTACCCATTTTATGCAAAATATCAACTTCGAAATTTAACCCTCGCCGGCACAGGGGGGCTGATGCAACCCCACCCCCTAAGTTCTTTCGCGAATAACTCGCGTAAAAAGCGACCGATTGCGACGAAACTTTCAGGACCCTCGCATTGATCAATTTTACACCTACACCGAAAATTTCATGACCCTGATCCAAATGACCTTTGACCTGTGACCAACTTTCCGAGACCATGTTTGGCCGGAATCGCGATTCGGCGTATGTCGGCTCGCATTAGCCGCGCGTTTGCAAGCTTTTCGTGGTTTCAAACGTTCAAACATGTGATTTGATGCTGTTCCCATGCATAAGGGTGGATGTCAAGGTCATATCTGAAGGTCAGGTCAGGTCATTGACCTTTGCTGACCTCGGTTCACTTTTTCGAGTTTTACATGTTTCTAGGCTAATTTTTGGAGCTGATTTCGAAATTAGGCATCATTTGAACATTTCCGAAGTAGTTTTGGTGCCTTCGTAACATGTTACGAAGCTGTCAGAGACGGTTGACACATATTACGAATACCAGTCACGACCCCTAGCGGTTGACCTGACCTGACCTGACCCGACCTGGTCTAAATGCTTAGACATCATCTCTGATCAAAACTAACACGATATTCGTGATCAGCACCCCGGAAAACCCCATTGCAGCCACACTTAACGACTTTCTAACAGGTCCCGATTTTCCCGATTTTCGGGTCATTGACCTGACCTGGAAGGTCACCCGATAACCTAGGACCTTAAAATTGGATAGCATCGGCTTCCTCTCGTGACGGGCAGCACGCTCGTTTTTTCCGCGAAGCTCTAGCTCGATCAGGGGCCAAACGCGAGGGAGGTCGTGCCAACCCCCCTTGTGCCGTCGAAGGACGCCAAATGGCCTGTGCCGGCGAGGGTTAACATTCTTTCACCTGACCTTGACCTGACCTTCACCAGAATGGAATCTAAACCGGCCCCAATGGTCTTCTAGCCCACACCATTGAATTTGCCATAAAACATGAATCACACGACCCTAGCATAGCTGGATTTATATTGTGACCCTTAGTGGCCTGACCTCTGTGGCCTGACCTGGCATCAGTGACCTCCTTAAGCAACATATGTATTAGGCAACCAATGTTCTATCGATGATTTTCGATAACATGCCTTCTCTTTGATTTATAACGCATTCCATAGAAAAGGCCCAATTAATCGGTGAACAAAAAGAGACCTTTGACCTGACCTTTGACGTCATCGGTTGCACCTAGGTCAAGGAAACTTGGTTACAAGGCAGTTCGCTGGTGGGGCTATCGAAGACTCTTTCAATTTTCAAAATCGGTGGGAAGCTTTCCGAGATTTTAGGTGGGGGACGAAACGGCCACCACCCACAATGGGTGGTGGGGTCCGCAAATAGCCCAACTGGGCACGGGTTAAGCATGTTTTATTTTTAGAACACCTTTCTCACGCCATGATATAGTCCTCTCTTAATAGATCGAGACGAGGAAAGTGTTTCCACGCCTCCTTATGCACGGCTCTAGGGTCATTGAGCTATTGTTGCGCGCACTCACCTTGACGACTCGCAGTAGCCGGAGCCCTGTTTGTTTTGTTGGGTTAGGCCCTTTCGGTCCAATGAGACCATTTCAGAGCCGGGAGGATGATAGGATATAGGGGGAGACATTGGTCTGGGCAGGCACCCTAGTGAGTCGCCGGGGCTGAGCCCGTCCAGAGGACAGGCCACCCAGCCCCAAGGCACTCACTGCACCCGGCTACGGGGTGCGCTCCCTCGGGATCAGCGGTGCCGCTCCAAGGGAGCAGCCCGCATGAGATAAAGTTGCCTGTCCAGCCCGGAGGGGGGTTGCGGCGTGGAGGAGAAGGATTTCAGCATCCTGAGGATAGAAGCACGAAACGGTGTCGGGGCCCTGTTCGGTCGCTGTTTTTATATCAGCGTGCTGTCTTTTTTTTGGGGGGGGGGGTTAGGCCCTTTCGGTCTGATAAGACCATTGCAGAGCCGGAAGGATGGTAGGAATTAGGGGGAGACATTGGTCTGGGCAGACACCCTAGAGAGTCGCCGGGGCTGAGCCCGTCCCAATAGACAGGCCGACCAGCCCCCCAAGCACTCTCTGCACCCGGCTACGGGGTGCGCTCCCTCGGGAGCAGCGGCGCCGCTCCAAGGGAACAGCCCGCATGAGATAAAGGTGTCTGCCTCCAGCCCGGAGTGGGGTTGCGGCGTTGAGGAGAAGGACTTCTGTATCCTGAGGATAGAAGCACGGAACGGTGGGCGTGCTTGTTTGTTTGTTTGTTTTGTTGGGTTAGGCCCTTTCGGTCTGATGAGACCATTGCAGAGCCGGAAGGATGATAGGAATTAGGGGGAGACATTGGTCTGGGCAGGCACCCTAGTGAGTCGCCGGGGCTGAGCCCGTCCAGAGGACAGGCCACCCAGCCCCAAGGCACTCACTGCACCCGGCTACGGGGTGCGCTCCCTCGGGAGCAGCGGTGCCGCTCCAAGGTAGCAGCCCGCATGAGATAAAGTTGCCTGTCCAGCCCGGAGGGGGGTTTCGGCGTGGAGGAGAAGGATTTCTGTATCCTGAGGATAGAAGCACGGAACGGTGGTGGGCGTGCTGTCGGTTTTCCCCATATAAGGAAGTTATTGCTGGCGCGGCTTGGCCTCTCATTGGTCTAACGAATAGACCACTTGAATTCGACCAATGAGGAGCTAAGAAGTAGCAGCATGGTTGTACCCTGCTGATAAATAAACGGGGTGCGAACAGAGCTCGGGCCCGCGCGGCGCTCGGCCGGGCGGGACGGGTCAGGGTCGTGACCTTCCGCCCCGGGGCAGAGGGCAGCCGGCGAACGGTCGCCCGGCCGGCCGCGCGCAGGGGCGGTCGCGCGGGCGCAGAGAGGGGAGGACGAAGTGTAACCGCCACACTATCAACCGTCAGCGGTTTTCGGACAATGAAGGAAGGTTTTTGGTCGTTTTTAGGTCAGATCTTGGGTAAGATCATTTTGCACCCATCCCAAACCAATTAAAAATTTCATTAAAAGCATAAATATTGTTTTCAAATGTGTTATTACGAGCGAGCGAGCGCAGCGAGCGAAGCGAGTCTTTTCAATATAACGGAAAAATCTCAGTATGAGCGGCCCGGCCCGGCCTGTAACGCTTTTGAGAGGCTTATATCTCAGCAACCGCTGGACCGATTGGCCTGCGGTCTTTTTTGCTGGGTAGCCCCATCCCTTCTACCCAGTAATTGACTACTTTTGATACATCTCAGTGACCGTCGTGG